TGTGTGTGTATGTGTTTGTGTGTATCTGTCTGTCTACCTGCCTGCCTCTTTGTCCGACCGTCTCATTTTCTGACTCTTTGCCTGTCTGTCTCTCTAGCTAGGGCATTCACAAACTCTGATTGTCTGGTAAAGTTCCAACGTTTCCCCTCACTTGACTTCGTCCATCGGGGAAGGACGTTAAATTCGGAGGTCTCACCACTGGAATAACCTACAATGTTGAAAGAGGCGTTAAAACCACACAACTTTTCTTGAGTGCTCGCACAGTTTCACAGACACCCTAGCCTGCAAAAAGTCTATCCAGTGCACGCATCGAAACTCCAACAAACCTCTCACAAAAGTGACCTGTATGGGATGTTTGTCAGCCTTCCACAGGCCACATATCTGTTTTTCTTCTTCTTAGACGTTTTATGCCCCCATCAGCACAATTTAGATAATTGGAGGCGTGCTACTTGGCCCGTGCCTGTCAAAATTCAGAGGGATACAGCGTTCCGACAGAAAGGGAAAGATAATCGTTTTGGTAAGTGTTTTACTGCGCTCGCAGCTGCATCGGGTCAAACGAGCACGCGAGAATGATATTCGACAACAAAAAAATGATCCCCACACAGGAATCGAACGCGCGGCTTCTACGAACAACGACAAAGCGACTAACCTCTACACGCAGACTGCGATTCAGAGCCAGACATTTATTTAAAGCGCCTTAATAAGATCGGATTGGAGTCAAACTGGTGAGGGGTCAGAGAAAATTCTGCGCCGTCTCTGTTTTACAGATTTTATCATATGTGTCACGGCGTGGTGGAATCAGGCGCTCATCAGTTTTTGGGCATACGGGTTTCTTGGTATCATCCTGAAGCTGGTTTATTTATCTTGGAATAAGTCGTTCTTCTCTTAAAGCTTACATCTGTCCGGAATGGCAGTCAATAAATTTGCGATTGTCAGATTTAGAGTCGCCAGGGGTCAGAAGACCGAAGTTTGGTGGTTCCCAATGCTTGATTGTCTATAGAAACAGTAAATTGACTTTTTTTTTCCTTTTGTCAAGGTCTTTCAATAAATACTTCACAGATATTCTCAAATGGACAGTTAGGTATTTTCTTGTTATAATCTCATTTTTGTGAAAGACTAGTAATAAGAACCAACTTATGCTATGTTTTACAAACCTGGTTTTAAAAAATGGTAAAATTGAACACCAGAGTCAGGAGAAAAAAATACAAATCGATAAAAATTCTTCGATTCCATTATTTCGACGAGCGCCTGATTTCACCACTATGGCTCACATTTTATCATATGATCGGGAGTTGAACACATGAGCACCAGCTATTAGCAATACGTGTGAGAAAAACTGAATGATTGCCAGCTCGCTGTCATTGCTCCTTCTACCCTTCTCTCTTTCTGTGTCTGCGGAACATGCCTGTGTCTGGGGTTTGGGAAATGCTGAAAGGTCATCGAAACAAAGGTCAGTGTCGGAATGCCAGGTTTTTGAATAACACGTCATAAATTGTTTAGTGTGGACGTGTTTGTGTCAGACTTGCGCAGTTTTTGAAATAGTTTCTTATTGACTTATGGCATATGACTAAGGCATGCGGCAAAGGGAATGATGATGCCTTGGGATGGGTTGTCAGGATGGAAAAAGGGTAAGAAAGGAGAGAGAGAGAGAGAGAGAGAGAGAGAGAGAGA